TTTCGTATGTTTCCGCGCTGACAAAATTCATTACTATTATGAATGAAAGATATAAAGCATGAAGGATGGCTGGATTCAACGTTGTGCGATGTTACTATTTATCGCGCGTATTTTGCATTTTTATTTCTATTACAAATGCGCGTGTGCATCTGTTAAACAAGCAGCCATCGTGCAACGTTACATTATTCGAAGCAAATGTGATAATTTCGAGATCCCTTGTAGTCCAAATGTAATATACAAGTTAAGATGATATTGTTCGTTTACGTCACGAGTATTATTAATTACGCTAATAGATTTTAATTCTGACGTGATATAATAAACATGAATACGACGAACAAAACGAGTATCAAAGAAGGCTGGCCAATGATCATTCTATCACTATCCTTTTTCAGATATTTTTTATCTGTCATACATAGATATTTAACCTGCAAATTGGGTCGTGTGTTTTAATAAAATATATCTAAATTTTGGAGACGAAATTCATGGATCAATGCAGATACGATTTATTTTTAACAAAATTGGAACAAAACGTGAAAATACAGAATCTCTAAATTATCACGTAACAGAAATTAGAAATTCATACTAGATTAAATATTTATAATATTAAGCTAAATGTTTGTAATTCAAAGCATGCAATGGAAATCTAATTAAAATTATTGACAACGAAATTTTACAATAAAATTTTTGACTATAAATAGATACCGATAATGAAGACTAGTTGTATAGTGTATATTATAGAACAAATATTTTATGAAATGAAAATTTAAGATAAATATTATGTATTATGAAGTAAATATTATAGAACTAGGTCGAAACAATGTTTAAACATCTGAGTGTAAAATAGAATGCGCCCTCTTTCATGCCATTGATCTTTAATATGTTCAAAAAGAATTGGTGATATAGAAATAGAAACAGATAATGAGAGAATTAAATCAAGTTTAATTACGTGTGCACGTCTCTTTTTAAACACATAAAACTTAATAACACAAAAGGAAAACGCTTCATTGTGTCAAATGTTCATTTAATATATGAAATTTATTATTATTAGATGAATTGAGTGTCATGCCTCCAATTAATTAAAACAATCCTAATAATCTTCGTTCTTATAATGATAAAATTCTATTGCATAAAGGTACATGTACGAATTTATTTATACATCGTCATGCAATTCTTTTAATGGATTGAATTGTATAAAACTAAATTCCCCTTAATGTTTCGCATCATCTCAGCCCTTCGTCTGAATCTCGAAATCTCCAGAAAAAGTTGGCGCACGTCAACTTTTTTTTTTTCAGTTTCATTATTCAAAGCACATAAAATATCGCGTACGATCTCTCGTCGTGACACTTTAGAAATTTATTCTACGAAAAGCTGTCCCCTCGTTCGATGTAAATTGCCTTTAATATTCGCGTTTCTATTTTTCGTTCGTACAGCGTTTTATTTCTACAACTCTCCAATACCTTCATCACTTCATACCTGGTTAGTGCAGTTAGCATAACGCGTTTCTGTCCGGGACATTAGAATGCTGTGTAAATGATTCTACGATTAAATGTAAACCAGATTGTGTGCATACGTATATATACATACACATGTATATATGCCGTCTGAATAATAGGATAATGTTCGAAGTAACAATGTTTAAGTAATCAAGTACTTCGGATAATGTGAATTTGGAAATTCAAAAAAAATTCGTATTCATTTTCGAGTCGAATGGAAAATGAATTTTACATACACCGACATTTCTGCTCTCTTGTACGTTGTACCTTTGATCAATTTGCATTAACAATTAACGATTTGTAGTTAATAAAAATGTAATAGCAGCATATATTAATAATTATACGATAATAATTAACAATTTGTATGATTCTCAGCCCTCTGATGAATATTACTAAAATATGTTCAAGCTGCGCGATATTATTAGTTTAATTGATTTTTAATTTGACTTGATTAAAGTTGATCAATTCGTGAGAAAATGCAAAACACAAAGCAAAACTGGATATTCGAAGTTTTAATAATCTAGCTTGCAACGGTACGTACGTTTAACGTTGGAACTATCGATTTAAGTATGAAACTCGAATTATTTTAACTTGGCCTGTGATTCGCTAGCTGCTAAAATTGTTATTATTATTATTTCAAAAATAATCGTTAAAAGAAATCTATTACTAAATTTATCCAAGACTTAACCCTGCTTTATATCTCTCTAAAATTAAAAGATATCTCAAGCTGAAGTGAAAACCGTTCGTTTGCCAAACGAATTGTTCAACTAATATTTAACTACGAGGATATAATTCGAGGCTCGTAGACAGAGTTATAAATAAATAAAACGTTCGCGCACCAAAGCGAAACTATCCGTAAAGCACGAGTAAAAAGAAAGGAACGCATTAAATGGCCAGGGGAACCGGTGCCTCAAACGAAGCGGCAGCAAGCACGCGGAACGGAATTCATTTCGCTGAAGCTCGATCTTTCTCATTTATAAAAGCTCTATCGCGCGGGTTCTTACCGGGTGGCGTTAGCAGGAAATGACAGGGGGCTCGTAGCCCCGAGACCGGTTGAAACGGTTCCCGAAGAGGTTCGCAAAGGTTGGAGACAGGATTGGAGGCGGTCCAGGCCAGCTCCGCATTACCAGTAGGAACGGTATACAGGTCGAGATCCACGATGAGCTCGTGTTGCGGACGTGCCCTGTCCACGTACACGTGGCCTTTGTACGTGTACAGGGGCGAACACCTATCCGAGAAGGGGCGCGAGCGAACGTTTCCACAGAGAAACCGAGATCGTCCACGGACCGGCATGAATAAACCATGAGGATGGAAATTAAAGGCGATAAATGCGCCTCGAATGAGACAGCAGCAGCCCGAGGAAAGGGACTCGGGCTCTTTATGGGATTTTAATTCAGCCCCGCGCGCGGCAAAGGAGGATACGAAGGAACGTGTCGTACGGAAAAAGGCAGAAGCAACCGCGAAAAAGAGAGAGAGAGAGAAGAGAGCCGGGGAATTATCGCGGATACGCGTATAATTGCGCTGTTGAAACGCGTGGACCAAGACGCTAAGTAGACGACACGGTTCGTTCGAGTCCTGATGCAATTCCGGCTAATTGAGACACACAACGAATGTGGCGAACGCGCGAACCCGTCGTTCGTATTTATGGTTTCCGCGGCGAGGGACGAGCATCATTCGTGACGTTCGTGCCTTTCGTGCTTTTTTTTTATATTCCACGGACCAGATTAATATAATTCAATTTGATGAATTACCATTGCGAGCGTATGATGAATGATTATATGAACACCTTTGATGAATTATTATGCGAATACCTTATTTTATTTGTCTTCATAATTTAGTCTTTAGCGAAGAATTAAGTCAAGAACCAATAAAATGGCGTCTAGTTATGTTCAAAATAATGTTTAATCAATTAATCAGAATTTGTCGCTCGTAAATAAAAATAAATAAAATTCTAAATAAACTGATGGTTATACAGCGCGAGAAGGACATACATCGTATTAGAAAAGATTAGACAATTTAGCCAAAAGAAATATAACACTTTTAAATATTAAGTTGATAACTATCTTAATATCAGAAAAATGATTGTTTCGTTATTCCATTAATTCGATAGATTTTTGTCTCTATTAATTCAGATATGAAAGATTCTTTTGTATAAATTGTATATTTTTCACACTTTCTATTTACAACTTCGTTATAAATCTATTACTTTTCTCACGCGTCTCGTAAATAGAAATATTAAATTACAGTTACAGTTTTTTTTTCCAATAAAATAAATAACAATAATTTGACAATCAAATTTCTCAATATTTATCGACCTATATCTTCAATCACACGCTACACTTCATTACTATATATAAATACTAAATACAATCTGCTGTTCTAATTAGCAACGTCTACATCCTCCATCGTTCTCGCGTGAATAAGAAAAAGAGAGATATTCGTAGAACTCACCGGTGGTGTACATGGCGACTGCTTTCAGCGTGACCGGTTCAAGGACTACAGGATCGCTTCGACCTTTCGCGTTGACAGCGTAGAGATGAAGCCTGTATTTACGACCGGGCTCTAAACCAGGAACTTCAAAAACCGGGCCGGATTTCTCGGTGTGGTTCAGAGAGATAGTGTTCACAAGGTAAACGTTCTCCTCGCTGTAGACCTCCAGTTCGTAATTAGTTATGGGCAAACCGCCGTCAAATCCTTCCGAGCATCTGACGATCAACCAGTCAGCGTCCCTCGAGTCCGTGACTTTGAAATCCTCGTGACCTATTTCACGGGAAAGAAATTCGTTCGATGATATCGAGAAGCAAGCACGTCCTTCCAAGAAGATTACACAACGAAAAGCATGATTGCTGTGCCACTATCGATCGAACAGTTGTCGATACTTTAAACAGTCATAGCTATGTGTATTTTGAAACTCTTCGCTCTGACAGTGAGTCCATTCCTTCCAAAGAAATTCTTATTTTCGACTATTGTGAAAATCTCGAAGATTGAAATTTTCTCTTCGTAACGAAATCTTAAAACTTTTCTATACGATTCTCCTCCCATCCGAATTTTGATGATTGAAGTTAGATGACAAAACAGAGTTGGGATTTTCTTGGATTTTTGGTCGTTAATGTAGGAAAATCAATTTGTTACAGGTTACCATTGTTTATCATGTTAATGTTATCTTCTAATAATGAATGTGGATGAAATAAATAAATTTCGCAGAGAAGAGCTTGCATGCGAAAAAGGCGTGACTCATAGTTTTTATTATCTGATATATAGTAACATTACGATAATGTCAGTACCATGACACTATACACATGTGTATACCTCTTTTCACGAGACCACTTCCTGATCTCGTATAAAACCTGATAATCAGCACAAAAGTATTAGGGAAACGATAAATCGGTCAAAATTTTTGAGATAAGATTTCAGAACATCGTAGAAATGTGTAAAAGTTATTTGCGCGAATTACGAGAAAAAATTATTCCCGTGATCTAAAATGTTTCGGTATTTCATTACTCTGGAAGAAATTTGATAACGAATGAATGAATAAAAAATTTAATAACGAACTGCTCAAACCAATGAATCAGGAAATATTTGACTAATGATCGAAATTTAACAATAAATTTATTAAACGTTTATTAAAAAATATATTATATTCAGAGTATAGATTTTTATGTAAATTCGTACTTAATACTTTGTACAACTTGTATATTTTTGCGTATATTATGCGAACTTCGTTGAAATTTTAAGTATTCTGCAACATTGTTTAAGACCTCCCTAAATTTAATACCTCTGTTTAAAAATATCAACGTTTCTACATTTTTCCTCTACATTCCAGAAGAAACGGAACAATGATCGCGATCCGCCACAAACCAAAAACGAGCAAACAACCAATACTTTTGCCGAGATCTCAAAAGACGCCTGCCTTCAGTAAATGACGAATGTTTTCTTTTCAAACACACGATGCTCCCAACTGCAATTAATTACACGCGTTTAGAAATGACACTCGCAACTAGAATATTCACGTTGTTCGTGAAAATCGACGTTAGAGTGCAAAAGATTACAAGAGGATGGAATGCAAAAGGATCGATCGCGTTGAAAAGGGAAATACCGGTCTAAACTTCCGAGCAAACGCCTGAAAATAACACGTCACAGG